CAGATAGACGGAGATAAAGCCTCACCTTTCTTACTCACAAAGCACTATATGGGAGGGCATGGGTTAATCTGGAAAATAGGTTTGTTTACACGCCACCCCCAATCCTGGGTCAAACTTGCAACCCTTCCCCAAACTAGAGGCCTTCTTTGCTGGAATGATCCTGCCCCAATAAGGTTTCTGGATGGCCAAGAAGAAAGGAGAATTCAGCGAGAATACAGGTTAATTACAGATGGTTGGTTCCTCAAAGAGAGAATGAGGATGTTGAATTGAGCAAACTCAGATCCTCATGCCAAACTCATGAATCAGGTAAGTCATCTCCCCTGGGGGAGGGAGTCACTGATGAGGGAAGAGAGAGTCTGGGTCTAATTAATGTCCTTCCCGAGGACTTCTTATTAAGTACCCCTCCCCAAACAAGGCACTGTATTGGGTGCAGGGGCACCGGGGGATATAAGGAGAAATAATGCATGTCCTAGGGTTCAAGGAACTTGCAGTCTAGCATGACAGAGAAGAAATAGCATGATGCAGTGGGCAGAAATACAGAGATGTGAGTGTAGGGCAGGTGGTCCTCAGTGCAGGGGGAGGGAAATGGAAGCAACCGACGTTGAAAGGGGCCAGAAGGTCGAGGCCGTCACAAGCTTTATTAAGGAGTTTGGTTTCCACTTGATAAGACATAAGAAGCCATGGAAAGTTTCTGAACAGGGGAGTGAACCGTTGGGTTTGGGAATTAGTGTGTAGGATGGGCTAGACTGGAGGAGAGGCTCAACGGAAGAGATGATGGAGACCTGACTAAGGCCGAATTCAAGGGAGAGGTCAGAGATCGAAACCATAGTGGAGGACGGGGTACGGGGTACCGAAGAACAAGGGGGAGGGGGAGTTAAAGGACCTTCCAGGACGAAGGACGAGTAAATGAGGAGAAGGCATTGAGCTTGGTTTTATATATTTCGAGTTTGTTAGTTTGGAGAGATGTGTGGAGGGAGGGAGTTAGAAAATAAACAAAGACGCACACACAGACAAAAATAAATAAGCATTTACTATGCGGTGAGCCCTGTCTCAGGTACTAGAGACGTCAGTGAAGTTGTTAGACCTTGTCCTTATCTTCTTAACAGCTTAGGGTTGGTCAAAATCTCCCCATCTGTGAGTGGCATGCTCTCAACCCTCATCTAAACTATTTCCCAGATCTCCAACTGGATGGACCCAGAAACCAGCCTGACCCCTGCAGTTGCCACGGTGCACCTGTCCTGCCTGGATCCCCCTCCTCCAGCTCCAGCTTGTCTGTTCCAGTCCCAGTGCCTGAAAAACCTGTGCTTGTGAGAACATCAATGTCACGTGCATGGGTGTCACTCTGGACTGGGCTTTATCTATACTTTGTGCTACATGTTGTCTCCTGCAATTGCAAAATATCCCTCTTCTGCCTACAGTTGCACAACAGCTGCCCTGGGTTGTGCCTCTCGTGTCTTCCCTCCTCGTGGACCTCCAAGGAACCCCACGCACAGACACCGTTTCACTTGCCTTCATTGCCTTCGTGGTTCCTTCCTCACTTTTTTTGGTTCATTCTCCAAACTTCCTCTTTCAAATGCAGTTATAAATGGAGGAAGCTCCTATGCATGTGAAAGGAGGCAGAAAGAAGTGTGTGTGTGTGTGTGTGTGTGTGTGTGGTCTGTACCAGCAGCAGGCAGATCAAAGCACTTTGTTACTTAAGTGATTGCAGCAAAGTACAACCACTATTGTGTGAAGGGAGGTAAATCCCTACAAAGGCAGATGTTAAGAGTCTAAAAGTCCAGGAAAGAGATTTCCAGACTCTCTGGGTTCACAGGGTCCTTAGTGTCTTAGTAATTCTTTCACAGCACGCGAAGCCAAAAGAAATACCGGAGTTCTGTTTGTTAAATGGTCAGGTCCAAAAAGCTTAGTAAGTATTTGTCCTAACAATTTAGTAGAAGTTTAAAAAATAACACACATAAATCAAGAGAAAACTCTTTGACTTTGTTTTTAGAAACGATTGCTTGCTAATGCTACGTGTGTGCCTGCTGGATAACTTCTCAAATGCTGGAATCAGATCAGACTCTGTCACCCTCATGTCCTTTCCACCATGATTTTCATATGGTTCTTGCTTTTTGATCGCTCTAAGGGCCCCAACCCCAACTTGGCTCAAAGCTGATGTCCTCAAAAAGAATGCAGTTGATCGAATGAAATGCTCAAAGTGCAAAACACCTTGAACTAGGAATTCACACAGTGCAATGGATGTCCACCACCACTGGATTTCCCTTGGAATTAAAAACGATCCCTGAGTGCTCCCTGTGAATTCACTACCATTAAGTAACTTTAATCAATGAGGAGGAGTAATCCATGCAAAAGGGTGCCTGTGACCACTTAGCGAACAGGGTGACATTTTGTGAGGAAGTCTCGTTCATGGAGGAATGTGGGGAGACTGAGCAACTTGTCTGAATTTTAGAGCACTCATCACTATCTGAGTTTTTATATATATATTTGTATGTGTACACACACATATAATTGTATGTTATATATAATATATTTTAATATTTTATATTATGTAATAATATAATATATACTTTTAATACATAATTATACACTATACATAATACATTTTACATATTATATAATATAATATGCATTACAAACTGTGTGTGTGTGTGTGTATATTTATGTATAAAACAGTGTATATATATATGAATATATACTCACATCCAGCTGTTCTCTGGCTGCTGTGCGGGAGTGAGAAAGTTGTTCTCTGGGTCTGATGAGCCATAGAGGGTGCAAACCCCGGATTTGTAACAGAATGGTTTTAGAATTTTCTGCAGCAATGCTTGGCAGTCAGAGAGGAGGAACAGAGAAAATGGAGGCTTGGCATTATTCAGGGTCAGAAATTGCTAAAAAAAAAAAAGAACGTGGCAGAAAATAAAGAGCTTTGAAGGTGTGAAGATTTAGAAAGTTCACAGTCTTAACCTCCAAGCTTGACTTTCATGGTGCCTCGTGGGGGGAGGGGCGAGGCCCTTGTGCAGCTCTTTATCCCTGATTGTAAGACTCTGTGACGATGTGCCTTTGATGCAGGTCTCTGTTTGCTCCTGATGCTGGGCCCCTAGGATACTCTTTCACACTGGAGGCTCCTTTGTACAATATATACACTTCCTGCCTGCTGTTTTCTGTTGGGAACTCGAGCTCCCGTTCTTATTTGGCTGTTAGACCTTCTGGATTGATCCCTTCTCTCCTGTTTCTCTCCCCTTCACCCAGTAAGTTCCATCTCCTTGTCTCCGTTGGTTCTGTTTCTGGGAGAGAAACTAAGGTGAGCTTTATCTTCAAGCTCATCAAGAGAAATCTCTATTTTGGGCGCTCTGGCTTTACTTTCTGAGAACTCTTCTTTGCTCTGATTAATAAATTCTTGTTTTATGGATACATTATCTCCTCATATCTCTCCAAGGATGTTATTTAATGTATTTTTTAAAAAATCCTTCATTCTCTGTTTTCCTTCCTTTCCCTTCCCTCTCCCTTTCTTTCCTTCCTTCCTTTCCCCCTCCATCTCTCTCTGTCTCTTTGTCTCTGTCTGTTTTCTTGATTAACCTATGTTCTGCGCAGGTTGAGAAACAGGGCCAAAAAGCAAGGCAGGAGGGAGATGAAAACATCACATTTATGAAACTCAGGTAGGGAGGCGGCTTAGAGCGAGAGCCAAGGGGGTTGGTCCATGACCTGAAGCCTGGAGACTTCGTGACTCACATACGCAGTCATGGGCAGTGCTGGACCCAGACAGGCCTCCTCTCGTGGTAAGACTCACATCAGGAAGCACAGAAGAAAAGTCCCTCTCCTGGACAGACTCTCTCCCAAGAAGAAAGGAGGGCTAAGCTAAGCCTGATCGGTTCTTCCCAGATAACTGTTCCTGCCCCGTGGGAGGAGTGAATAGAGTCGGGTGGGGGAGACCATGAGGAAGGAGACACCAGACTTTGGAAACTTTCCCTGCGAATGCCTCCTTGGGGAGCAGGGTTAGTGCCTGGCTCCCGGCCTTCTGTACACAGGAGCACGTGAAGGTGTTGACTGCTATGAATATCGATGTCCAGCCTACCTTCCAGGATGACTCCATGTACCCCCCAACCCACGCTCTGTGACATCGAAGTCCCCAGTTCGTGTGTCTCTATGAGGTCTGGCGTTGGGGAGAAGCAGCTCTGTTCTCAGTCCTCTGCTTTTATCCATGGTGTTCTCTGTTCTGCTAAGTAAGTTATTCCTCCTGCCCTGTCTTCCAGTCTTTAAAATTCTGTTGATCTCTCCCAGTCCTGGATACCCCTTCTCCTGAAGCCTCTGCCCTTGAGAATTTATGTTTTCCTTCCTTTACTGTGGAAAGAGGTGCATCAAAGCCCTGGCTCTAGATTCCTACACTTGCTCTGCCGCAAACGAATTGTACAACTTTGGAGAAGCCACTTGACCTCTCTATGCCTCAGATTTTTCATCTGTAAAACAGGTTGTTATAAGGTTTTGTTGCCAAGTCCAGCCTTGTACTGATTGCCACATGACAGGCCAATAAATCGAAAGATGAGTTTTTAAGGCAAAGAATAGCAACTTTATCCCAAAAGTCAACAGACCAAGAAGATGATGGACCAGTGTCCCAAAGAACCATCTCACCCAAGTCAGAATTCAGGCTCCTTTTATACGAAAAAGGGGAGCGGGTGTGGTGTTGGAATCCTTTGGTCTTGCAGCTGT